AAATTTATTAATTATTTAATTGAAATCCTATAAAAAAAAGTTAAGTTATAGATTTTGAAGATGTTTTATATTAAGTTATAATATTATATAATATTATAATTTTATAATAAATTTATCTAATTATTTTTTAAATTAATTTATATTAAAAAATAAAAATTAACTTTAAATTTATTAATTATTTAATTGAAATCATGTAAATACTATTAATGTTAAAATTAAAATCTTATTTTTATATTTTATTACAAAATAATATAATTAATATATTTTAATTTATCAAACACATTAAAAAAATACCTTTTACAATTATAATGTGTAACTATAATATTAATTTTTTTTAAAGTTGAATCGATATATACGGTAACCCATTTAACACTACTACATAATCAACGTAAAATTATAATTCCATTTACAGGGTTGTAAGTATATATCGTTTTCTAGAACTCGAACCTCCTAAAGAAACAAAACCTACCCCGTGAATTGTTGTTGAACTGTATTTAATGGACGATGCCAACGAGTGGTTACCATACTCTCATAATTAATTAGCTTTGACCCTTTGCACAATCTTTTAAAGGTCTATATATATATATATGTTTCTTTGTATTTATTGTATTTTTTATTAATTTATACAAAAATGATAAAAATAAAATCTATTTTCAACATCAGTCTTATGTAAATAATTTTAAATAAAGAATTAATAAAATTAAAATCTACTTTTATATTTCTAAGAAAAAAATTAATTTTTATAATAAAATAAAACTGCTTAGTATTTAATAGGGACCACATGTAAAAAAATTCAATTATTATTGATGCAATAATATATCGATAATATTATTCTTCTAATATTACGTAAAATTATAAATTTATAATTATAATATGAAAATAAATAAATATAATATGATATTAAATGAAAAAATACATACAATATTATGAGTGAATTTTTAAATAAAAAATTAATTATTTAACAACATATTTATTATAAATTTATAATATTATGTGTCATTATAAGTATATCATTTTTTATAATTATATATATAAGACAATAAATTAGAGAAGAATGAAGGGAGTCAACCTGTCAATGTCCCGAATGTGAATCAAATTTGTTAGTTACCATATATTTGAATGAAATTAGTGTTTATCTGTCTTATCTCTTAAAGATTAGGAGAAATCATTTCAAAACTATATAGTTTCAATGAAGTACTATTGGGAAGAACAAAAAACACTTTAATTCATATTTTAAAAATAAGATATTTTAGTCTTTTTCAATAAAAATTTATTGAAACGACATAGTTTTGAGAAGATTTTCTTCTTAATTTTTAGAAGATAAAACGGATAAACACTATTTTCTATTCGAATTATGATGTGCTGTATATTGTTTTAGATTTGTCACTTATTTTTATATAAATTTTTTATGTTTTTGGTAAATAATTATATATGAAGTGACATTTAATAGAAATAAGAAAAAAAAAACATTGATGTCAAAAAAATTCATAATATATCTCTATATGCTACCTTTATTTAACTTTACTCCGCTTAATTTGATTTTTGAGTTTTTCAAACATTAATTTTAAATGGAAAATTTAATATAATGTATATAATAATTGAATTCTTTTTTCCAATCAAATAAAACTACTAAAAAACTACATATAAGAAATGAAATTTTCAATTGTTATTCGTACACTTGGTTAAATTTTTATTTGAAATTAATGTCTAAAATGTCAAACTAAGATGATTAAACTTGAATAAAAGGAGTATATTTAATTGAATTCATTTAATCTTAAATTAATGACTTATTGAAACAATATTAAAGTATTGGGACTTAATATGAACTTGGAGGAACCAAATGGTGTAGCTTAAAAGTATAAAATTAAAGGCTCAATAGGTGTTTTAAGCCGTTAAGAATTTGAGAATTTAAATTGAAAATCATGAATTTAAATTTTATAATTGTGAAGAGAGATATTAAAATAAAGATAGTATTATCTTTTATTATATAACTCATTATTAAATATATCAAAAAAATTAAAAATTTTATTGATTGGCATGGAAAGTCAATACTCACTTTATTCAACTTTAGTATACTTAATTTAATTGTTCAGTTTCCTTTTTTTAAGATATTATCATTTAATACACTTGTTCTTAATTTATTTTTATTTTAAAAAAATAATTACAACATATTTATATGACTAAATGAGAAGGTTTATTTAAGCTTAGTGATTAATGGACAAAGTATAAAATTGCATTTATTAATATTATATCTTTTTTATTAAGAAAAAAAACTAAATATATTAAAATTCAAACGAGCCATTACTTTTTCTTTTTTTTTTTTGGTCGGTGCAAACTGATATGCGGCAGATTACTATATTAGTCTTCGTTTTTTATTTTTTTACCAGTCTGGACCTTCTATATTTCCACATCCTCGAACTTTTAGACTCATGCATTGCATACCAAACTCTACACGTTTTCTTCCACACTTTCAAATTCACAAATTCCTCGTACGTCTTTTACTCAAAAACAAAAAAAAAAAATCCTCGTACGTCTAAACGCAAGCCGCAGTCCACACATCCCACAATTCCATACATGCGTTTTTAGTAAAAAGCACTATATAAAATACTCGTAGCATCACACCCTTTTTCTTTGGCACAAATGATGACATTATTTTTTCTCACCCAACAATTCCTAGGAAACTCCGCCGTCTCCTCTGCGTCCTCTATATGTTTTATCCCATCCACGCCACTCTCATCTCGTTGATCTGATTCTTTGCACCACCTTCAACCGTAATGAGAGGAGCAAAGGTCGCCGCCACCCTTACCACCATCACGACTCTCCCTACTCCTCCTTATAAGCGTTCTAAGATAAAGGGCAATAACGTCATGGCAAAGAAAATCGACGTTAGTACCATTAATGGAAAAGGGTATGCCATGTGCAGTGGTAGGTTTTACGGCAAGCAGGCCTCGTTCATGACGTGGACGCTACAGGACGTGGCCTACGTAGCTAGATACCATTGGATACCCTGCGTCTTTGGAGCGGGTCTGTTGTTTTTCATGTACGTGGAGTACACGCTCCGGATGGTACCGGATTCCTCACCGCCATTTGATCTGGGGTTCGTCGTCACCCGCTCCCTCCACCGCGTCCTGGCGTCGTCACCGGAAATAAATACCTTGTTAGCCGCTCTTAACACGGTATGCAACGAATTATTTTTTGGTTTTCATATATTCACAGGAAAGATACATAGTTTTTGTGATTTTTAATTGAGTCATATATGGATTCATGAATAGGTGTTTGTTGGGATGCAAACAGCTTACATTCTATGGGCGTTTCTGATCGAGGGGCGGCCGAGAGCCACCATATCGGCGTTATTCATGTTCACTTGCCGGGGAATCCTAGGCTATACCACGCAGCTTCCATTGCCCCAGGTATTTATTTTATATTCCCAATATCTTTTTGACTTGGCTTCTTTTCATTGTTTGGTTCTCGAGAAAATTAATGACGACAGAATATATAAATGTTGAAAAATGGCAGGAATTTCTAGGGTCGGGGGTGGATTTTCCGGTGGGGAATGTGTCATTCTTTTTGTTCTTCTCGGGGCACGTTGCGGGGTCCGTGATAGCGTCCCTAGACATGAGGCGGATGCAGCGGTGGGAATTGGCGAGGCTGTTTGATATCCTGAATGTGCTTCAGGCTGTGAGGCTGCTGGGTACTCGAGGACACTACACCATTGATTTGGCAGTTGGAGTAGGTGCTGGAATTCTGTTTGATTTCCTTGCTGGGAAGTATGAAGAGAGTAGCAAGACAAAGTCTGCTCTTGTCGCTTGTGGTGGCCTGAAAGGCGTGTTAAGTTGAGCAAGAAAATTGGAATTTATGAAATAAAAATACACTCCAATTCCCTACCCCCACCCCTTCCTTTTTTCTTTTTTCTTTTTTCTTTTTTATCGTTAAAGGGATAAATTTAAGGTG